TTCCTGTCTGTAGGACATGTGTGGGGTCCAGGTGGGGTCACCCGGGAGTGCAGCCCCCACTGGAGAAACCACGGGAACCGGGGTGGGGGCTCCTCGTGGACCCGGCTGGTCCCTGGCTGTGGTGAGTGGGGCGGACAGGCTTCCTTTTCTCCCCTTCACATCCTCCCTCTCCCCACTTTTCTGCCTGAAGCCCACGCGGGGGCAGTGGGAGGGGAGGGGACAGAGGGAAGAAGGGCCTGCCTGTCTGGGCCCGCCCTGGAGAGGCCCCTGCCCCCACCGCAGCAGAGGTGGGCTGGACCAGGCTGTGGTGGGCTTGACCTGCTGCCAGCTCCTCAGGGACCGGAGGAGCAGGAGGCAGGGGGAGAGAGCCTGGTGCAGCCGCCCCAGAGCTCGGCGGACGCTGAGAACAGAGAGAGCCTGTGAGCAGGGGGTGGGGGAGGAAGCTTTCAGGGTCCCCTGGGGTCAGCTCTGGGACAGTTGCCGTTTTTAATCTGTGCAAGAGCCTTAGAAGGAGCCGCGAGGGCTGTAACCTAGATCGGCAGAGAAGCTCGGAGGTGCCTGTGGTGGCCCAAGAACAGCCCCTCCCACAGCTGTGAGCCCCGCGGGGCAGAGGGGGCGCTGGCCACCTGAGCCCTGTCCTGGGGCCAGAGACCGGACTCAGCTGGCCTTGCAGGGCCCAGCCCTGCCGTCCGCTGCCTTCCCCTCAGGGCCCGGAGCACAGCATGGCCATAGGGCCCAGGCCTGACTCACTCCCGAGCCTGCTGTCCTGCCGCCTGGGCGCCAGCTTTCAGGCCCGCTACCCCGGCAGGTGGGAGACCCACGCCCAGGGGCAGCCGGCCTGGGCGTCTGGACTGCAGGCCGTGGGGACCCCTAGGCAGCACCTTCCGTCTCCTCACCCTGGACCAGTGCTCTTGGTGGCCAGCAACCATCCAGTCCTCGCTGACCCTCCTCCATCCTCGAGACCCCCTACCCCGTTTTGCTCTTGGGGGTGACTGGGAGGGACTATGGGGGTGCCCGCCCCACCCCAAAAGATGCTCTGTGGCAGGTCGTAGGCAGGCGGGAGGAGGGGACGTGGAGCCAGGCAGGACTCCAGGTCACCCCTCTGTGCTCCGAGGGCCGGTGTGCAAGCTGTCCCTTTGGTGGCACCTTCCACCTGCCACGCGGCCTCGCCACCTTGTGAAAACACCCGACAGTTCCACGACTCGGAGGAACCAAGAAGGCTGCCTCTGTGCCCTCCTGGGGCTTTGGAGCCAGAGTCGCCAGGAGAGGCTTGTACCAGGAAAGGCGGCTCCGAGTCAGCGGCTGGTGGCAAGCAGGCTGGGTGCCGGCTCGGCCCCTGGGCTGTGCCCTTTTCCCGCCCCATCCCTAGTTTTCAGGGTCCCACACTGGCAAGGCAAAGGCGGCAGATCCTGAACACCCAAGACCGACTTTGAGGCCAAGGGAACCCCATCCTTTCCATTCCCCGTCCCTCTCGCCCAGATCCAGGCCGGCTGCCTGAGATCCAGCCCAGAGTTTCTATCTGGCCACCACTGAGCGGCTGGCGCGGGGTCCCACAGGTGAGGGGTCTCCAAGGGGCAGAGACCCAGAGAGCGAGGAGGGCTCGCCCACTGGCAGAAGGGCTTCTGGCGAGGCCTAGTCAGCGGGTCAGCCTCAGTGAACGTTCACTGCACGGATGACACACACTGGGACAGGACTCAAGGAGGTGCCAGCTTGTGGAGAAGCACTGCGCAGTTCAGGCCTTAAACACTCAGGCGCTGAGAGGCTGGCAGGCCGCGGGTCTGGGCCGCTGTGGAGCCCGCCATGAAATCGCCACTGCAGCGGGCCGTGCATTCTGCACGTTCGTGGGAGGTACAGGAAGTTGAGAGGACACATCCAGGTTAATATTCCTGAACACCAGGTGTGTGTGGGGGGCACAGCTAACTTTTTGACCTCCTGTTTGTCTCACTGGTTGCATTGTGAATAACAAAACAATAATTAACCACTCGACTTCCATCGCTGCTGGGTGTTACAGTGGCCGGAGGGACCAGGCCCTACTCTGAGGGGCCTCCCAGCCAGGAGGGACCCTGGGCCTGAGTGCACGGTGACCCCTCCAAGCTCACCTACCATGTCCCAGGGACCATCCCAGGAGCAGAGGTGGGGCTGCACAACCCCAGGGGCACCGCGGTCTGCAGGAACCAGCAGCCTGTGCGCCTCCCAGGGGCCTGAGCCCAGGGGCAACAGCCCCCATGGGCCTGGCTGTAACACTGCACCCCAGCCAGACTTTCCCCTGATGGTGGACGCAGTGTGACATGCAGGGAGGCAGGAAGGGGAGGGCGTGGGCACGCACCACTCCCCCGCCGACCCCGCCGTGCTTGAGGGCGCTGGCTAAATCTGATTCCAGATGTTCAGCAGCTGTCTGGCCATTTCCGCCCCTCTCTGACCTCGCATCCGCCAGGAAGCGTCCCCTCCTGTCCTCAGGCCCTGAGCCAGCCCCCACCTTCCCTGCACCCCATTTCCTGAGCAGAGGCCTTTATGCAGACTCAGCTCCCCCTCCCACGGGGTGGCTGCAGCCCTCACAAGGCCAGGGTGCCGCCCCAGGGCCCTGGGCTGCTGTGGTCAGCTTGGGCTGCCCGGCTGGACACCCTCTGCCAGGGGCTCCGATCCTGGCTCCCGGCCCTCCGGTCTCTGGGACTGGTTTTAAAAAAAATTGGCTCCGCCGCTAGCAGCATAAATCAGGACCTCCAGGGAGGCTGGGCAGAACTGGCCAGGAGGGAATAGCCTCAGAGGGCGAGGACCAGAGGCCACAGAGCCCAGCCGACTCTGGCGGGGGTGGGGCGCAGGCTGTGATGTCTGCCTGGCTGACACTGGCCGAGGGGCGTTGCCTCCTGGAACTGAGGACTGATAACTGGGGACACAGCCCCACCTTCCCTGAGCAGATGGGGGACACGAGCGGCCACTGCTACTGCAGCTGGTCCAGTTGGGGGGTTCTAGAGAGAGGGCAGCAGGAGGGCGCCTTCCTGTCACATGCTTCCTGTCTCAACAGAGCTGGCGATTCTGGGGCACTCGGGCTCCCATGGGCTGGGGTGGGGGGTTGTTCAAAGGCCAGGCCAGACACAGGGTAAGGGCCCCAGGGGCTCGGAAGCTCCGCCCACTGACCTCTGCCCCTCGGAATCCGGTCTCTGGCTCCCATCCCCCTCAAAGCCTCCTGCTCTTCCAGGGGAGCCCAGGGCAGGTGGGCCAGGCAGGAAAGCCTCCAAACAGAAGTCTCAGGCTGACCGGGCGGGACCAGCCCCAGGAGCGGAGCTCCTCCACGCCCCAGCTTCTCCTGGGGAATCGAAACAAAACGTGGTGTGTCCCAGGTGCTGTGTGGACCATCATCCAGGACACCCCCACTCCGTCCGCTGTCTGCCGAGTGTAGGCTGAGGCCCTCTGCTCTGCTGGGGTCACTCCTTTGGTCTCACGAAATGAGCCGGGAGCCTTGGGGTCTGCATTACCCCTCTCCCACTGGATCAGCACCCCGGAGTTCATGGGCAGTTCCTGGGAGAGTGAATGCCCCCTACCTTTCCCCAAGGCTTCCAACCCTGCACTGCGCACAGGGCCAGGGCGGGTGCTCCGGCGGGGACGACCACCGGTCCCTACAGACAGCTCCCGGGGTGGTTCCCTGTGGGCCCGTCTCTGGGCAGCTGCTGCCAGGGACCCAGTGACGAAGCGAGGGGGTTGCAGGGCACAGGGAACGGGAGGGGCCCTGCCTAGGTGCACCACTGGACTCTCTCGGTCCTCACATCCGGTCCTCAGATCAGACCTGCGAGCCGAGCAGCCTCGTCCAGAATAAGAGCTGGAAAATGGATGTCAGCTGGCTGGGCGGAGGGGTGTCAGAGATAGAGTTGCCAGACTTAGCAAAAAACAACAAAGAAACCTAAAAACAGGATTAAGTATGTCCCATGCAATATTTAGGACATACTTATGCTCAAAAAATATTTGTTCTTTATCTGAAATTCAAATTCAATCCTGTATTTTATCTGGGAACCCCGGGGGGACCCTCCCCACCCCCTCGCTGTGCCGATTGAACCCTCCTGTCCCCCAACCTCTAAGACAGCAAGTGTCCTCAGCTCTGCTTCCCAAACCTGGTAGGGGCTGACGAGGCCTCAGAGCCCCCAGCCTAGACACGCAGCGGGGCAGAGGGCCTGCTGGTCCTGGACCTGTCGCTAGAAGCTGTTCACACCCGGACAACTGTTGAACGAGCCCCCAGGCCTGGCTCTACCCTGGCTCCCCTTGGTGGCCTCTGACCCTGCTACCTTTGCCCTCAGGTGGGCTGGCCCTCTCTGGTGCAGGAGAAAAAGGGGAACTCACCAGAGCCCTCTAGAAAAGAGGAAGGTACAGCCTGTGGGATGGCTTGAGGGGGAGGAGTGCTCGACCAGGGCTGAGAATGAGGAACATGGGCCGGAAGGACCCACCTGGAGGAGGTCATTGCCTCTGCTAGTACCGGTGGAAAGGGGGTCCAGAACAGGCAGGGGATTTCCAGCGAGCACTCACCCACTTTCCTGGGAAGGAAAGCGTGCAGGGGAGGGGGTCGCCAACCATGAGCAAACTGCCTCTGTGCTCTAGTGGCCGGCCTCCATGCCCCCCAGAGTGACAATGGCACATCTCCCAGGCTGCCCCTTTGCACTGAGAGGGCGGGGGGCGCCTGGCATGGGCCTGGGCAGGGAACAACTATCCCCAGCCTTCTCCTGATGTCCGCGCTGGCTTTGCGAGCTCTCACACAGCCTGATCCCAGAGCCGCGTTGGCCAGACCCTGGCTCCCTTTCCCACCAGAGTGGGTACCTCCAGAGGTGGGCGGCCCCGCCTCACAGCAAGCTTGGTTCAGGCCATGGGAAGCCCTGCATTTTCCCCAAGGAGACCCCCGCGACCACCCAGGAAGAGATTTCTGCAGTCTCTGTCCACCTTCGGTTTAAGGAGGCAGGCTGGATGCTGCTCAA